TTTGTCTGGGTTTATAAGTATATAGGCTAAACTGTCTTCTTTCGATTACTAAAATCGCAAGTCTCTATCTTTTATGGTCTTTGAGTTATTGAAAAACACTTGCCTACCTTATATTTTATACAGTGGGCCCTCGGAAAACCTCTGAGAAAACCTCAAAAACCATTCATATAGTATCACATCATATGTATACTGAAAGTAGACACTTCAGGCTATCTTTCCATGTGCTCGTCTCATTTGGCCGAAAATCATTATTTCTGAGGGAGGGCCTCTCCTTAAACAACAGTAACCAAGACTCTCCACATTTCTGAACCGCTTATCTCGGGTGCTGAACATATGGTAGTTGGGAAATTTATACTGATAATCCAGAAAATCGTGCGCAACAAAACTGCCGATTCAGATTTTTTTAAAAATCATTTTCATTTTTCTCGTCAATTTTAAAACGCGGTTGCAATTCACTCATATATATCTAGTATATAATTTATACGATAGAGACATGTATAAAACATGCCTGCGTTTTTGTTAGTTTCTTTTTAAACAAGACATGCAAAAAAAAGTCTGTATTCATTGTATATAACGAACACTGGTAACAAGGAGTGCATTATTTTGTTGATTACACTTCTAAACCACAGAGGCGCGAAAGTCTGTAATCTTAATTTTAATCTATTTGTTATGATTATTTTCAGATAAAATTTTTGATTTACTTATTTAATTTTAAATCCGATACTTATTGGTAATTATATCCAACGGAATAGTAAGTAACACTAGTCTAAGAGTATTGTTCAAATTCATATTTCATCCATATCGATATTTTCGGCTTTTCGAGTAATGTGTCTGATTACAGATTTCGCTTCTTCCAGAAAGAGTGTAGTGAAAAGACTGAGAAATATAAATGCACGTGAAACGATTCTTTCATTCGGAATTCTTAATGGACTTTCTTTTTTTAATGATTATGTAGTGGATATTAGCTGTTGTTTTCGGAGTGTAGTTCAAAAATGCTGTCTATGACCGATTGTACTTTTCTTTCAGGTGCTGAATGAGTTTAAGTTTATAAAAGTGATGTTAATTTCTGTGTCTATTATCACAGATAGTGATGTTCTGTCTGTATCCAACAGACATGAAAGTGATGGATCGTAAACTAAGCTCAAAAATAGATTTATACCCTTCAGATGTATTATGGATGTTGTTCACGATTGAATGGGTCAGGTATTTCAAATTTTTTGTCAGCACTACTTTTGATACATTTTCCGTAGATTAACAAAAAACCCAGCACTCATGTAACAGTCATACTAATTTGTTAAAAATGCTCTCATTAAAAAAAGGATGAATAGTTAGATAGTATTATAGTGGAATTTGTATATTAATACAGTGGTATTTGTTTTATTATGTTGACAGAACTCTGTCCAATAAAAGAAAATAAGAATAAACCAGAGGAGATTGATTTTTTAATACTAAACGTGCGTTATCCGCACTTAGTCTATGTTTGAATATATTGCGATGTTCACATCATAGTATATGCCTTCGTTTCATGTAGTTTACACGCTGACACGTGGTTGAATGAAAGAGAAAAGAAAAAAAGAAAAAAAGACAAAAGCATCTTTTGAAGTGCGTAGAGTGGTTGCTTTTAATCAGAACATAAATACTCGACAAGTGTAGTATTTTCTTCATCTTGATCTTATCCTAGAACTTTTTCGAAAACATTTTCACCATTGCGTAGCTGAGAGCCTCAGCAATTGAATGAAATCAAAAATTTTTAGTTTAATATTCAAAATGAGTGAGTTCTCACTTGTATAATACACTGCACTTCATTTCTGTTCTTATTAAATACCGCATTTATTTAGAACATTGGAATATTAAACTAAAAATTTTTGATTTCATTCAATTGCTGAGGCTCTCAGCTACGCAATGGTGAAAATGTTTTCGAAAGAGTTCGAGCATAAGATCAAGATGAAGAAAATACTACACTTGTCGAGTATTTATGTTCTGATTAAAAGCAACCTCTCTATTCTGTCTTCGATTAAGATAAGAACATAAGAAAAATTCGATAATAGATGTTAAAACAAGATGAAACAAAAATTAACATTCGACAAACTCTAATCAGTTCTGTTTAAATGTTTAATAGAGTAAGTTTAAACGACGAGGAACTATTATTTATTTACCATGATTCGTCTTCATCATCGGAATCTTCAATAACTTCATCTTCATCAGGATCTTGTGATTCAAAATAAGTATTTGCCCACGTATCAAAAATATGTATCATTATCCTAAGTGATAGTTTGAGAAGCGTCTGAAGTATTTTTTTCTGTATAATTTGTTTCATAAACAATACTCCTTGTTTATTTGTTGAATGGAAAAAATCAATCGTAACCATATCGTTTATCTTCTCTACACCTTGAAGGCTAAATTTTTTAAGCTCTCCATATACACGATGAAATTACGGAATATGACAACCGAGGCAGTGCACGTATGGTATTACCTGAAACAGAGCATTACATGTGTACCTTTACAAAATTCAATTTTGCTCTTTCTCAACAAGAAAGAATGAGATGAAATTTAAGGGAATAGGGTTGCGTTTTATTTGAAACAAAAAATAAGTTATCTGCAATGTAGAAAATGCAATATACAGTGATTCTCGTTGTTATAACTCTTTGCATTGACCTTCCGAATGAAATATTTAGAATTATCTTTTACTTTTTGAATAGATATTGTATTTCTAACTAAGACAAAGTTAAAATTTTCTCTGCGAAAAAGAAGAATTTATCCGAATTCGTATTATCTGGTTATGTCTTTCTGTAAAAAATTTTTATTATGTTAGCGAAAAACTATCTTACTTGGTCTTTTCCGAATAAATTCAAATAAGTTTGCGCCCAACCTTACATAAAAGTTTAAGTTCTAATGGATTAATTTCATCATTTTCTTTTTTTAATAGTTCCAACATATGATAAAAATTTTGTATCAGATTCATTATGATCTGGGCTCTTTGTTGATTCCACATGAGTTTTTGTAACTGTAATTGCGGCATAAAGATATCACGCTTATCACCAGATATGGGACCAATTCTATCGATTTTTTGTTTTTCTTGTGTGAATTTAATGTAGGTCCAAAATGAAGACATTTTTCCTTCATTTTGAGTCATAAGTAAAGTAGCAATGGAAAAATGTATTAGTTTTATAGTATTACTTAAGTCATCTCGGAAATAATAAGTTAAATACTTTATGTGCATTTTTTCTTTTGTAATGGTAATGAAGCCTTTGCCTCTTACTTTAGTTTCCTTTGAATGTTGTTTGAGAAGTTTTAATGTAATCTCACGCTGTTGTTGTTGTTTTTTGTATACTGGCGGGAGCCGGAACAGTGCAGGCTTCATATAGTATATGCTTCAATAATACATCCATAATTCTTAGCTTCATATGAAGTACGTCTGGTACCAGATCGACATATGGAAGCATCAAGCGTTCATTATAGCCAATTATTTTAAGATATTCTTTTCCATATGGATAAAATTTCTTAGAATTTTTTAACGATAATACAAATATTCGTGCAAGTATTTCTCGCTCAGTTATTGCATGAAATTTTTTAGTTTGCATACAGATGGACTAAGAAAACAAACTATTCTAAGAAAATTTTCATGTCATTCAATGAAATTCCTTCTATCAAAGGAAAAATACGTATTTCATGTAAGGCATACAGAATAATAAATGAGCGATTAATTTTTGAATCAGTCATAAAGCGTAGAAAGAAACTGACTCTTCTGTATCTTTTCTGAGAATTTTCCTTCTGCGTGCAGTTCTTTTTCGGAAACAGAAAATATAGCCTAATATGGAGCCTAAAGTAACATGCTCAACATAATAAAATTAATTGTCATGAAATAAGCAATTATGTATGAGTAACAATACAAACAAGAATTTAAAACTGCTAAAGTATACTAGATCCTTACTCGAAATAACTTCCATAGAGTGGTCTTTCCATATACCCTTTTTCTTGTTTTGCTAAACTGCTGTAATGCTGAATTATATTTCTCTACAATATCAGAAATATAAACGTTTGAAAGATAGAATTATTCTTGACCATGCTTTGTTAGACTCACCGCATTTCCTTTAGGATTGAAAGCAGAATAGCTATCAAAATTATCTTTATCGTTTGCATGACACGTACACCAGTTGCAAAAGTGTTTTCCTCGTACACCAGTAAGTCCCATTAAAAGAGATCCCATCTTATAGTCTGTCGATAACGAAAACCTTAAATTGTATCTTTTACCATTTACGTGGAAGTGTTGACCTTTTCGAAACATATTTATAAAATCGGCTGAAACACATTTTTCTAACTGAAAAAATGTGGAGCTATGAATTGCAAGCTAAGAAATTATACAATGAACAAATTGACATACTGCTTCTCGCGTTTCTTTTGGTATTCGGAAAATACCAAGTATAGTCATATGATGAGGCTGTTGACTAGTAATACCAATATCAAGCCAACTTAAAGTGACTATTAAACAATTGCAATACTTTCCAAGCCATGTTCCATCCTGTGCAACACGAAACCATAATGTTGGATTTTTTGAGTCGATTGTATCAATTATGCGGGAAACGGACAGTTGCTCACGGGGACAGTTGCTCATGGACACTTCCTCACGGATACTTCCTCACAAGGATACTTCCTCACGTGGACGGTTCCTCATATGTACCTTTGCTCACACGGACAGTTGCTCACGAGGACAATTGCTCATGAATATTGATATAGTTTGATTAATAATGAATATTAATTTTAAAATTTGATTCGATTAGCTAGAAAAGAAAGTACGATTTAATCAACTGACAAATTGATGAATTCCCTTTTATTTATAGCTGGATGATGATTTTGCGTCAGTTGTCAATTTAGGAAAAAAACAATATTCTATCGGAGGTTACATTACAGGTACATTTCTTGACTATATAAGGGAGATACAGCAAACAGTCTGTACAGTCACTTTGTTTTAATCGTAAATATGGTCACTATATCTAAAACAAGTAAAGGGACACCTTTACTGTGGAACGATGGTTTTTCGTTATATACTGGATCATAAAACCGACGAGAAAATATTATGGAAATGTGAGGTTCAAAGAAAACTTAATT